TAGACCGCAATGCCATAGAGGTCAATTGAAAATAAAGACGTAAGATACCTCGAGTCTTCGCTAGCGCTAGCCGAAAGCTAAATGCTAATTTAAGGTTCCTACACCGTCTACTATCCACTGTATCAAAAAAGGGACCAACAACCAAATATGGCACTCCGGAAATGAACGCTTGTGGCCTTGAAAACCTTTGTGGAGAGCTGAAATATACGGGACACGTATGCCAAACACTCGTGAGTGAGAAATCGGTTTTGAGTTGCACATAGTTCGTGAATGTATGTGCATGTTTGTTGAATGAGTATCTAACATTGGATTTCGAAGGGTGTTCATAAACTTTGTTATACACACGTAAAATTGTCACGGGCGCTTTTCAGCATCTGGTGCATTTTTACTTCCCCTAGTGCCGGTGTTATCTTCGGTTCCTTGATTCGCTCTTTTGCGGAAGAACAAATATTTTGAGATTTGCGACAGACTCGGGTGCTTTCTAGCCTCGATTCTTTGTTGAGCCGTTAGTTCTGTTATCATACAAAAAGGATTAGAGGGGGCTGATTGAGGAGTGAGCCTCTCGTATACAAACCACATAAGCAAAATTTTCAAGCAGCTTCACTGACTGGTTAAACAGTGGAGCTGGTAGCATCGTATTGGTACTTCAGTGCTTGACTTTGGTTTACAGAACTGTTTGGCACAATCTGCGCTGTTTGCCAGTTTTTGCGGTATTGATTCAGCGTAGCTGCTTTAGATTCCACACTCACAACGTCGTCGTGCGTCCTTTCGCCTCCCGTTAAACTCAGTGTCTGATCAAGCCGCTAACATCCAACCCCCGCTCCTCTCACTCGAGGCGTAAGACCACGAATGTTCAAGATTGGGCGAGTTCGTTCGTCATACCTGAATTGTCAGAGCGCAATACAGTAAAGAAGAAATGGCCGAGCAGACCGACAAAAAAGTTGGTTGGAAGTTAGCGCTCTTTATTCGTGTGTCAATCTGCACGGCTGTTTTTTTTTCTTTTCTGTAATGCGCTATACCAATTCAAGTTCGAAGCGCTAGATCTTCTCTCCTACTTTTGTGCTTGGTAGTTAGAACGACGTCGTCGTTCACGCGCCAATTCCCGTTGGCGCACCCGATGGGCATGCAGCTTCTTCTGGAGAACGCATGATTTTGGCCATCGCCAAACAAATATTATAGGCAGCGCCGCCATCGCTAGTGGACCAGGGGTGAGACGTGCATGGTTCTCGGCTAAGTACTGTGACCCATACCCGCTTTGACCTCTGTCTCAGCAAGCAACGTGCGCCCCTTCGGAACTCATTTCCCTACAAAAACGTTTGTGTCATTTGAACATACGATTAACCATACTACCATGCAATTATGGATAATATGTATCTGGGGCCTATAAAACTACACGCTTGAGCCTGTTCATCGAGGGCGTTGACACGCGATTTTTGCCTGGCGGTTGGAGAGTAACACAAGCAAAAAAGATAAAAAAGTAATAGAAACGGTTTTGTAGAGCACCACTGTTCACCAACGATGTATACGCCGTTCTCAAAGTGCTCAATGAATATTTTTGAGTGAATCACAACATCGTTCAGTAATACTACATTGTTTTCGCAGACAATGCCTGCTTGTCAAGCGTTGCAAAAATGAAATAGGTCATTTGACTTATTGATGGAGCGAATAATCTTGGGTGAATTTACCTTAGGGATGAAGCCTAGAGGCCTGAAGCTAATTTGTGAGAATTGCTGAAGTTGAAATTAACAATTGGTCTAATTTCTTAGAACAAATCTGTCAACGCCAGGCCGAGAGGGGGGAGGGTACCTACTTTTTCCCTCCTGGCTATGAGCCTGATCCACGATTATATGACAAACTATCTGACGACTTCAAAGCTCGCTTGATTATCCAGGATAAAATTACGCCTTTACATGACAATTGATCGACCGATTCGAGAGAATGACAAGAAAGACAGCCAGCTCGCGGTGGGCGTAAACTGGGAGCACCTCGCTAGTCATTAGCGCCCATAATGAACTTATTAAATGCATAGATGTTTTTTTTTGTAGAAAACGTACAAGGGAAAATGTTTGGGACCATGTTGGTGGCATGAATATTTCCGAGCTATATAAAATGACAAGTTCTGTCAATAATATTTCCAGCGACGCTGACAACAAAAACTTTTTGCATGCTCAAATGAAACGATCCATCGACTATGAGCCTAAACCAAATCCCCGCTGACGTAAAATAAATCAGCAGCAGCCATGTTTTTCCTATTTAACCGTCTGCCGCCCATATACCCTTCCACACTACAACATGAACCACGAGCGAGCTCGTCTCAACGCGTGCGAGACAAAAACAGTTTGAGGATATTTGCCTAAAATATGGCTTCACGTGCAAGATTACTGGCGGTCGCCGGTCGGTCGCAACCGGAGCAGCGTTTAGAAAAACAGACGCTATCGCATGCACGTCCCGAGGCAAAACGGAAAACACGTGTTATCAGATCTACTGAATCTGAAACGCTAGAGTTATACGCGCGCACACGCGGAAGTTTATCTCTTGGAATACACAAATAAATAGCGAAGAAAGTAAGCAAATCGAAATAAAGTGTCATGCGCCAGTGACAACTGCCACATGTCCTAAAATATGCCAACGGGTCGCCTCTATAGCAACACCCGCTGTGAAGACATCTTGGACATGAAATCTCGGTAATGTGATCGGGAAGCTTTACACGGCACTCCAGCAATGTATAACGAATAGTGGAGTGGCGACCCGCTCAAAAGAACTACTAAATGTAGTACGTGTGCTATCTGCATAGACCTCAACGGTAACAGTGGTTCAAGCAGTTGACGTGCGACTGCAACCAACAGAGGGCAGGGTTGAGGGATCAACAGGACCGAAAAAGAAATCAATGATAGCTAAATGAAGAAAATTTTTTGGTGGTTGATTATAGACAAAGCCTCCCGCCCACGATCAAGCGCAAAGTGTCTAACAGAAATCTGAAGACATTCTCCTATACAGCAACAATAAAAGAAAAATAGTTTGCTATATAGAGTGAATCTTGAAGACTCTGGAGGTCATTGGTAAATTTTCGTAAGATCCGTCGTAATTAGACGCGTGCGCACCTTCCCGATTTTGTTATAAGATGTTCCGTAAAAATCGCTTCGAGATTAGTCTCGTGGTGGCCAGACACAGTTGACTCTTATAAGAGTTTCATCTTTCAAATCCCGATGGATTTTGCCTCACCGCGGTTGTCTAGGGGCCAAGGTACTTGGCTGCTGACCCGCAGGTCGCAGGATCAAATCCCTGCTGTGGCGGCTGCATTTCCGATGGAGGCGGAAATGCTGTAGGCCCGTGTGCTCAGATTTGGGTGCACGTTAATGAACCCCAGGTGGTCAAAATTTCCGGAGCCTTTCACTTCGGCGTCTCTGATAATCATATGGTGGTTTTGGAACGTTAAACCCCATGCACATATCAATCATGAGCGGAGGACTTCACCCATACCTTGTTCACCTGCATCAACAGCTGGGCAACAGAGATTTGCAAAGCCGTCTTGACTTTGAAAGGACGCTCTACTGCAACCCCGAAGCTAAGTTAACAGAAAATTTAGTATTTTAACACATACAACGTAGTCGCACAAAGGACATTCCATACACATCAACTTTGACGCACGCTCCATCCACCACGAATTTCACTGTGCAAGCACTCAAAAAAAAAAACATGCTTAACATTCAAGGAGGACATTCACCACAACATACGGGAAAAAGTGAAGCCGGGATAATTATTTTGAAGTAATGAGTACTTCATATATCTAAACACTGTCTAAAACAGTGTGGAGGTCACACTGTGTTTCAAGTAGGTATAAGTGACGCCTATATACGGACGTGTAAACCGTCACCCATGGCCTATCGTAAGAATTCTTAAAAGGAATTCCGTGTATTATAAGGAAATTAAGGATTACTCATTTTTCAGTGATGATATTTCAGTTGCGTGGCGCATTCTCGGAGATGTTCACGTCCTCTCAGCGTTCTGCGGTGAAATGATACATTCCGCTCTTCCATAGCGCTAGCTATGAACACATATCAGAGTCATGCACACATCATCCATATTGTTTTACCGGAAGGTTCCTAGGCAGGTTTCAGTTTGAATTTCATGCAGCTTTTTTGAAAAAATCGTCACTATATATGTAGCTTACACACCACGCTTGTCTGTTTTGCAGTTCCTAAACCACGCGATTATCATCACACATTATGGTTGTGTGGTCGTAAAGAACTGGAGACGCCTTTGCCCACTTCAGGACAAATGCCTCTCCCATTTTCCAGCAATCAACTCGGTCCTGTGCATGCTGTGGCCACATTGTACCCAAAAAACTCCTAATTTTATTTGCCAACTTAACGTTCTGTCTCCCCCTCGTGCATTTGCCGCCTCTTGCAATCCTGTATGTAACGCTCAATTTCAAGCGGTTATTGATGTGCGGCTTAGGCAGTGCCCAAACCACACGACGAGCCAGTAATTAATTTCAAATGCCAAGGTGCAGTATAGACATACTCGTGCTCTCATCCGGTTACTGGCTAGACATGACGCAAGGCAATTCCTACGTTTGCGAGAGAGTTAGCGTTGCGAATAGTCGATAAGAGTCTATGTAAGCGCGACAAAGGTGATTTGCGGTACAATAGAATAGTTGGCATTCTGCAGAGGCACTGCTGAAAACAAGAATAAAACTAACGGGTCAAAGGCTCGCTTATGTTTATTAGGACGCTGCACCTTAAACGCACCAGCCAACCTACACACGGCAGCTTATCGAGCATGACGGTAACAATGCTAGATGATTCATAATTGGACTGTACCGTGTAGTGCGGCTTTTGGGGGGCCGGCCCTCCAATCTGCTCGTCGGAAACTTTACGATGCTTTGGCAAGAAAAACAAGATTACAGTAGTGGTTTCTGCCCTTACCAAATTTGCCTTAAGGCCGCAGTGGCTCAAACAGCGCAGCATTCAGTGAGTCTCGAGCACATCACCACCCACCTTGCTGAATGGCTGGAGTGGAGATGGTGGACTCGGAGAAGCTCGTTTCGTCCGGGATATTTAACAGCGGCGCCTTCTCGCCGTTCTCCTCGGTGATGGGCGCGTACTCAAGAGTGTTGGTCCGGCTGAGACGCACTGAACCCTGGCGCATGCGCTCAGACAGGTCGGTGGACAGCGTCTGCCACGCGATATAAGTGGGAAAGTCGGTGGAACTGTGGAAGCTGTCCTGGATGAAGTTGCCGCCGGGGCCGTGCCGGTAGTAGGCGCCTGCAGGCATCCCTGTGGTCGCCGTCGAAGCGAACGCCTCGCTGAAGCTGACCATGCTTTTGCGGTGTGAGGCCATGGAGGCACCTGTGGGAACGAGATCGGCCTCCGTCTCAAAGTCGGCACACTCGACCAAGCGGCCGGACCTGCCTTCTCGGCGGGACGACGTGATTAACTTATTTCGTCTGCCTCGCTGGACAGACAGTGCTCTATGCTATGCTTCCAATCTTCGCCTACTGGGCTTTGTCGCGAAAAATTCCGAATCGTTCGTGCGCAGATCGTATGGCGCTTGCGCAGTGGACTGCAGCCTAAGTCAAGGGCATCTGGTAAACCCGGCCACCGCCGCTCTGGATGAATCCAGCGTCACTGCCGGTGTGATCCCGCATCCCTCCTCGCCCTCGCCTGTTTGCGGCCGACTGGCTTTCGGCGTGCGCAGCAGCTATCGGCGCCTCCTAGATTAGTCAAGCCGAGGACCGATAAAATCTACCACACGGCAGATCGTGTTCCATCGCGACCCGCACGCTGCCCCAGCTTCTATATACGCTGTTCTCGCTCGGTCAGAGGCTTGCTGTTCTGTTGTTAGCCATTGGCTAGCCATTGTGAAATGGAGCACCGCGATTTCGACTGTGTAAATGAGCACCTTATTTCGGGAACCTGCGATGTTCTTTCCCGCCGAGAAGGCAACTTCACATTAGTGCGTTTTCACGTTAGGACTATTGCGCCCGTTACCATAGACAATTTATCGTAACTCTGCGACGGTTATATATCTGTTGCGGATGTGCAACTTGCGGAGTATGCGAAATTCAATGGTCGCCTAATGTCTTAAGCCCTTCCGGTGAGCTCTAAAAATAAAATAAAAGCGGACAGAATAACAGTGTTAGATAAAGCCCGTCAGCACATTGTGTTGTTATCGGGCTTTCTATTGCTGCACTTGAGGAGATACTGAAAAGTGTAGCAGGTCGTTATCTTATGTACACATTTCAGCCGCATGCCACAGTAGAATGCTTCAAATCGCTCTTTTCACAGTGAAGTTGTCTAACAAATCGTTCCTTGCGAGTCGATCCAGAAAACTATCATCATCATCAACGGGAATATGCTACAAAAATTGATAAAACCCCCAGTACTCGCCACTGGTCCACTCAAAATGGAAGCAACAGTTGGCCCAACAAATGACTGAAGGGACGGTGGTTAGCCGAAGTCCCTGAGTACGCATACACTGAGACAATACTAGGGAACGGGAAAGGGAACGGTGGCTGCGAAAAGACCCCGAAGCGATGAAAGGACAACCAAGACGTGCACGCAGATCTGCGAGAGGGGCGGACGCTTGACTTGAGCACGAGTTTCTGTCTCTGGAGTTTGTTCAACCGTGTCGTGTCTGTGACTGTCTGTGGTTTAACCCGAACCTCTACACGCTGAGAATCAACGGATAGAAACAACCCAGCATCACATATAGATTAGGCTTAGCAATAACTTGCATCACCTATGGCCTAGAAGCAACGAGAATTTTAAGACAGAATAGGCCAGAATCTTGTTGCACTATTTCAAGCATCGCACGGCTTCGTGAAAGTCTCGCTTTTTTTCTTTCTTCTTTTGTTTTTCAAGGGGAAAAATAGTGGGGCGCAAACTGAACACAGACGCAGAAGCCACGGACGAGCACAACTGGTATATTTAGCGGACGTAGATCGTTGTTTGTTAAGCATCCTAAAAAAAGAAAAGTAATGCTAGCACGTTTTAAATATGTAAAGAATTTTTAGTACTTTGAAAGAGACACTCTATTGTAACTCTAAACAAATCGATTGATTTTATTCTTGCCCCGCCGCGGTGGTCTAGTGGCTAAGGTACTCGGCTGCTGACCCGCAGGGCGCGGGTTCGTATCCCGGCTGCGGCGGCTGCACTTCCGATGGAGGCGGAAATGTTGTAGGCCCGTGTGCTCAGATTTGGGTGCACGTTAAAAAACCCCAGGTGGTCGAAATTTCCGGAGCCCTCCACTACGGCGTCTCTCATAATCATATGGTGGTTTTGGGACGTTAAACCCCACATATCAATCATTTTATTCTTGACGCTTTTCAGTAGTGCGAGAAGAGCCCGACCTTTAGTCACGAAATCCTGTTCTAAAGCTCACTGCAGTTTTACATCTACGGATTTGTTTATGTGATCACGCTTGTTGATCATAAAGCCCCCGAGCGCAGAAAAAAACTGTTGTCATATGACTCTGCGCAGTCAAAGCCAATTAAGTGTGTGATCGTGAAACTTAGCCTGGTTTCTGCGTTCAGAAAATCAGGCCCGCATGGTATGCAGGATAGGCCGCCGCGGTGGAGCATGTTGTTATGCTGCTCGGCTGCTGACCTGAAGTTCGCGGGTTCGACCCCCACCGTGGCGGTGCCAGTTCGATGGAGGCAAAGTAGAAGCTCGTGTACTGTGCAAAGTCAATGCACGCTAAATAGCACCAGGTGGTCGAAATTTTCGGCGCCTTCCACTAAGGCGTCTATCGTAGCCATATCGTGGTTTTCGGACGTAAAACCACACATATTGTTTTATGTTATGCAGAATATGTACTTTTAATTAGCAAGCTCGGCGAGTGTTGGAAGCTGAGAAGAATGGTAAGTTTGGCTAGTTAGTAATGATCTATAATGTGCAAAAAAGTGACGGTTTTTTGGTAATTTGGTCTCTTGTTCCTTTTTTTTTCTCTTCCCGCTTTGCTCTCTCTTGATTTTATTCTGTATATTATAAATTGCTTCGTTCTCGCAGTAAAGCTTCAGTTGATAGACTGCGCTTGTCTATCCTTTTCTCTCTTTTTTTTGTTTCCGTCAATTTTTTGCGCAGTTACATACATTATTAAGCTAAGAACCCTTGCACGCTATTTACGACAATCGCGGAGATTTTTCTTCGTGAGACAATAGTACTCCGTTTCGGTGCAAAGCCGGGGCCACATTCAAGGAGGTACCCTGAAGAATTGCCCTACATGCACCGAAATTCTCATAATTTGAAGGGCTAGCAGGCACGAAAGTGCCGATGGTTTTTTTTCTGGTTTTTACTGGAGCCCTGGCTCTGCCTGAAAATATCTTTTGCCTGTAAGAAACCCGGAGGATCCGGAAAAGAAGTACGAGCTGTCTTATATGCAATCTGCGCAGTTGGCGTTGTTCGAAACTTCCGCTCTCATGCGCAAGTCTTATGTCGGGTGAACCAGACGGCGCATCAATGTTCGCTCAAAGGAACATGAATTATCGATTATCCCAAAAGAGAATGCCCATTTGCATGCACACGTTCGGCATCGCACGTGTACTCTGAATTAGCGGCAACTGATGGCAGCCTTTTTGCCGCGTCAAAAGGAGATGCGTGTGTTAGCCAAACTTGAGTTTCTTGAATAGATGGTGAAATGAGGTTCCTGCGCGGCATGTTGTAGACTGCAGAGCATGACAAGGTAATTACCGTTGATATCACGTGACTGAATGCGCTTATATGTTAACTAATTCGAAAAATAAAGTTGGTTGAAAGCAAATTGCGTTCGTCCGTGGTTTTGCGTCATTCTCTAGTTGCGCGCAAACATTTTTTCCCCTTGCAGGTATGAACCAGCTCACTCAGCAGAAAGATTCATGGAACCATATTTCTTTCGTCTTCTGTGGCCGTGGCCTCTGTTTTGCAAGGCATGGCCCATTTATACGCACCTCTCTTGAAATAACCATCTGTGTTCACGAGACAAAATTCGTAAACAGGTGGTGGGAGCTGAAGCCAGCGTTCCGAAAGGTGGACTTTTCTCCAAGACTGCAACTTCTAGGTTGCAGCCGTGAAGAAAAGTTCACATTTTTAAACGTAGGCTCGAGCACCCACACCATGTTTGCAATTTTTTCAACACAACTTCCATCTTCCCATGGCACTTTTTTTTTTGGGGGGGGGGGGGGGGGTTCTTCTTTATTCACGGCGTATCGATCAAACTCGTAGAGCACCACAGTCCACATCGAGATGAACAGAGCTCTGTTTTATATTACACCACTCAGATTGACGAGGGGGAACTTGCAATCACTGCAACACAAGCCCCATCCAGTACTTGTGTACCGTTAGCATGAATTTGCCCGTTTCACGAATATCGTAAAGTTATGTATATAGTACGACAGTCTCGACCACCGCGTGCGAAGTGAGAAAAATGAGTTTCTAGAGTCTTATGCAAACCCGAAAATGATTAAACGACAAGCGCTGAAAAAATGCATAATGCGGGAAAAAAGCTTAACAGGGCGAATTCCTGGACAGAGTCATGTCTGTAGGTATGAGAGTGAAATTATTACGCTGTGCTAAAAAAAGAAAAAAAAAGATGACAGTTCCAGTTGTTGTGACAGAACTCCTAATACGTCGCAGGTCAATTTGGGGCGAGCTTGCTTGGTGCACCGCGAAAAGGGGTGGTCTTCATATTACCACTTATGATAGCACAAAACAGTGCACCCGAAATGGGTGACGGAAAATCATAGTAATTTATAAAAGGCCACGACAGCTTCGATGAGGACAACTTTGCTGCCGTCTGTATGTCGGCAGCAGTGCATACAATCTCATTATTAGCTAAAAAGTTTTTATCTTCGAGAAATTCACGCGAGACTGTTAACAATGCAACTTTTCACTTTGTTGGCAGAACATTGGTCGTGGAATCCCGCTGCGAATCACCCCGCAAATACAAGCCAGCGGTTGAATCGCTCAGGTCCTTCCTCAGCTGGTCGCATCAATCTTTTGCCTTTTTTGAATAGCAGTTTTGTGTAGCTGCCATGCTGTTGGTCTCGTACGTTGGCACTGTAACATTACTCAAGTAAGTTGTCCTGTTTTGAAATAATGTGGGTCAATAAAGAAGAAAACGGCTAGAATTTAAATAAAACGCATTAAGTAAAAAGAAAAAAATAAGCCTATGCACGTAACAAACACTCCCAAGCGAAACAAATCTTTCGTAATCATTAATACTCTCAACAAAGAAGAGAAAATAAATTACAAAAAGACGCACTACAAGTAAATAATCACGTTAAACATGAAACGTATTCTCGCTGATAGGATTAAAATCTAAAACAGTAGAAAAAAAGTACAACATTTTTTACTTCGACCAGTGCATGTTA